GATTTTTTGCAGTGCAGGACATTTTAATGCGCCTTGATGACGCCATAGACCTTGCATGTAAACCTGCTGATTCTGCTGCTCAAAGCGCGTGCGGTGTGAACGTAGCATTAGTCAAACCAAAGAGCACTGGTCTCTGAAGTTAGGGAGGGATTTATACTTCGTGAATGAGGGACATCAGGGTCTGCTGGTAGCTGCGGCTCCGGCTCACGAGGAAGCGGTCGAACGGCTTCCCGCTGCGGTCTGTCTGCACGGGGAGCTCGTAGCAGAGCAGCAGTCCGGCTGAAACACAGAGAGAACGACAGGCAAATGTTATCTTTTGGATGAGTGCGAAACTTAAATGCCAGAACCTTCCCGTTTTGGCTGCCTGACATCATGACATTAAGGATTTTTACAACTTGCCTAAAAGGCAAGTGACTTTCACATTTCATTTGCCCAGAAACAATCTTTACTTGCCCAGTATAATGTTTGATAAATATAGTTCCTATGACCTGCATCACTGTACAGAAGACTTTCATATGATAGTGCTTTCTAGCTTGTTTCTTGTTTTGGTAACTACATTAAAATTACCGCTAGTTGGACAAAAATCACGCCATCTGGCGAAAAATCACGCGTCTTTTTCAAACCACGCGAGTACAAAACAACAAAAATGGCGCCGGCAACGCTTCTGGGTCGTTTTCATCGAATGTCTGTGATTTAAAAGTAATTCTGAGTAATAATTTAATTTTTTTTTTTGCGATCATTGCCCGACGGGCAAATGTAATGAAATTTGTACTCTCCTGACAATAAAAACGACTTGCCCTGGAAGATCGGGCGATGGTTAACATCGAGCCCTGCTTGATGGAATTTTAACTTCAACTGCAAAGAATTGAAATCTAAATAAGTAATTAAATAATTTTTTCCTTAAAATAATTGTGTTTTTCCTTTAATTGAGGAGGTAAGTGAGACACTTTGCCAATGGAACAAGAAAATCTACATTTAAAATAAGAAAAAAACTGTTTTGTTGTCTTGTTTCAAGAGCAAATTATCTAATTATCTTATTTAGAATGAGTAAAAATACTCATTCTATTGGCAAATCATCTTATTTACCTGCTTAAATACACTTAATTTAAGATATTTTGACTAATTTCTAGATTTTTACAGTTTAAAACACAACTTAAAGGGAACATTGTGTCCTAAAAACAGCTCCTCCAGAGAAAAGGTTAAGCAATGCATCTTTTAGAATGAAACATCCGGCTAATCAGTATGACTAATCCTGGATCTGTGTGTGAATCAGCAGGATCCTGCCGGTGCCAACTTGCACCGTGACTTATGGCAGCCAGACATGCAACTATTGAACCATACGATGCAGATACCTGCCAGCATCTTACAGCAGCCGTCTTTAGATCCTTCTGCACAGCTGCTTCGTCTTTTCACATAAATTACTCAATCATCTGCAAACATTCCTGCCTGAACTCTTCTAGTCAACAACAATGTAGAAACAAGATTCCTGAGCTGAAAACCATCATGCTTCATGTCGCTCCTACCGCACACCTTTGCTCCAATTACTGAATCAAAAGGCCTTTGAGAAGAGATTTGAAGATTGTAAAGAACTAATTGATGGCAGCTAAAGTTGTAATTAAGTCATTTAATTTAGTTTTTTTAGCAGGGATGTATCGTCTATCTTGTCTGCTGTCATGATTCATGCAGCTATTATTTCATCCAAATGAAAAATGGAGAACAGACAAGCAGATCATGGCTTGTCTACAGTGAAAA